AATATTAGGTTCATTTCTGGGGTACACCCCAATGATTAGACATTATATAAAGGACTAAGAAGTCATGCAATTAATCTCATACCCGTCTTCCACCATGCACATTTATAATATTACTAGAGGCTCAGTGCACAAAAATCTATGCACTGTGGGGGGTCCCTCTGCCAACCCTGAGGCCTCTCCCAGTCCGGGACCCCTTAAGGGATGTCCAACTGACAGCTTAGGCCTGTTTTAGGGCTGCCATGGATGCTACCACCAACCCCTATGCTCGGCAGCTGTGAGCCTGGCATTTGGCTGATCGGCGTTCCCCTGTGGGAGTGCACTGAATACCAGTAGACAGCTCCTGACATGAACATCTGCCCCCGGTGGTCAGTGTGTGTCATAGTGAGCAGTTGTTCTGCCATTTGGTAAATTTGCATATTAGGCTTTTATTATATAGGATTGCATTGACTCAATGCTCTACTTTAATGTGCCATCACTATTCTTTCGTTTTTTTCACATAGTTTTACTGAATTCAGGTTGGAAGGGATGGAGAGAAAGAGAAAGATCAATGATGACAGAGAATCACGGATCGGTTGTCTCCTGCATGCCCCCTACTGGGCATCAGGACTGTAACCCAGGCATGTGCCCTGACAGGGAATCGAATGGACATCTCCTGGTTCCTAGGTTTAAACTAAACAAATGAGCCACACCGGCCAGGCTCTTGTCTCTCCTTTTCTTTTCTTTTCTTTTCTTTTCTTTTCTTTTCTTTTCTTTTCTTTTCTTTTCTTTTCTTTTCTTTTCTTTTCTTTTCTTTTCTTTTCTTTTCTTTTCTTTTCTTTTCTTTTCTTTTCTTTTCTTTTCTTTTCTTTTCTTTTCTTTTCTTTTCTTTTCTTTTCTTTTCTTTTCTTTTCTTTTCTTTTCTTTTCTTTTCTTTTCTTTTCTTTTCTTTTCTTTTCTTTTCTTTTCTTTTCTTTTCTTTTCTTTTCTTTTCTTTTCTTTTCTTTTCTTTTCTTTTCTTTTCTTTTCTTTTCTTTTCTTTTCTTTTCTTTTCTTTTCTTTTCTTTTCTTTTCTTTTCTTTTCTTTTCTTTTCTTTTCTTTTCTTTTCTTTTCTTTTCTTTTCTTTTCTTTTCTTTTCTTTTCTTTTCTTTTCTTTTCTTTTCTTTTCTTTTCTTTTCTTTTCTTTTCTTTTCTTTTCTTTTCTTTTCTTTTCTTTTCTTTTCTTTTCTTTTCTTTTCTTTTCTTTTCTTTTCTTTTCTTTTCTTTTCTTTTCTTTTCTTTTCTTTTCTTTTCTTTTCTTTTCTTTTCTTTTCTTTTCTTTTCTTTTCTTTTCTTTTCTTTTCTTTTCTTTTCTTTTCTTTTCTTTTCTTTTCTTTTCTTTTCTTTTCTTTTCTTTTCTTTTCTTTTCTTTTCTTTTCTTTTCTTTTCTTTTCTTTTCTTTTCTTTTCTTTTCTTTTCTTTTCTTTTCTTTTCTTTTCTTTTCTTTTCTTTTCTTTTCTTTTCTTTTCTTTTCTTTTCTTTTCTTTTCTTTTCTTTTCTTTTCTTTTCTTTCCTTTTCTTTTCTTTTCTTTTCTTTTCTTTTCTTTTCTTTTCTTTTCTTTTCATTTCTTTTCTCTTCTCTCCTTTACTTTTCTTTTTTCTTAATTAAAACCGTGTAGTTGGTTCAATATTTCTTTTTGTCCTGACTACACCACCTTTTTCTGATCATCTCAGAGGTAACTCACAAACTATAGAACAACCCACCCCATGCAAGTAATATGCTTTACTTTAACAGCTGGAAGAGGTACAAAGCTAACGTTAGCGTCCAGGTGGGCTTATTAACAGCGGTCTTGCTTCTCATGTGCTGGTGAGAGAGGCAAGACCAAAATATTCAGGGACAGACAGATACCTGGGATTGCTGAACGGGAAAACAGGAAGCAAAGAGACAGGTAAAACAGCAAGTAGGATTCCTGAGGTCTCATAACATCACTTATAGAATGATCTCTCCCTTCCCCAAACCTCAGCCATGCTTTTGGCAAGAGCTGTATGGTTTTGCTGCTAAACTCACTTCTGTCCACAAAGTTCAAATTCTAACAGCAGATCAGACTCCATCCCCAATACTTCCTCCTCCACCTCCCATCAATCTTTTTCTTACTTTTTCTTCTTGCTCTGAAGGCAAAGCAGGTTTCTTTGCTCCTTTCCTCTGTGACCGGTCTCTGCTTCCCCCTGTCACCTGCAGAAGAAAGAACATGACCATGATACACATATTCCCAGAAGTCCATGTGTTTAGAAAAAACAAGGTTCCCCTGACTTACAGCCCAGAAACCAGTCCCGTGAGACAGGTGGTGGTGAGGAAGGAAAGAGGTTTATTCAGGTGCTGGCATCCTGAGAAGATGGGGAAAGCTAGTCCCAAAACCCTTCTGCACATGTAGTGCAGGCAGAGGCTTTAATAAGGGGGGAGAGGCCAAACAGAGCAAAGAGGTCAGGGGGCGGGGCTTGAGAAGTTCTCTACATGACCACAGGCACAATCCAATCTGATAAAGATCTTGCAAGAGGTCAAGTTACGGTCCAGTGTGCATTATCAGAGACTTTGTCGTCCTGGTTCTAAGGTTGAAGTTCATCAAAGTCTCCCAGAACGGGTAATGTCAGAGTTAATATCTTCTAAAATTAGTTCCTAGGATTATTATACAAACATGCTGTTTACCAACAAGCTTTGTTATTAGTCAGAGTTCGCATCTACAGGAACAATGTGGAAAGAATGGTGAGGTAAGTTGTAATACCCATGAATCACATGAATTCATGAAATTACTGTGACATGAATGCTGAAAGGCTTCGTTTTTCTTCAAGGCGTTTCCACCTTTTGAAAAAGTCAAATAGGCCATAGCCGGTTTTGCTCAGTGGATAGAGTGTCATCCTTCGAATTGAAGAGTCTCTGGTTTGATTCCCCGTGTAGGGCACATGCCCAGGTTTTGGGCTTGATCCCCAGTGAGGGACATGCAGGAGTTGGCCGATCGATGATTCTCTCATCATGGATGTTTCTAATTCTCTCCCTCTCTCTTTGTCTCTGAAATCAATAAAAATTTATATGAAAAAGAGGCCTACGCTCTATCCACTGAGCCAAACCAGCTCGGGCGCATGGTCTTATTTAAATGACTACACACCTGGTATGTGAAACCAAAAAAAAATAATAAGCTATTTTCAAACAATGTGCATGTCATTTGAATGCAACACTTGCTTAATATTTTTTAAATGTTTTTATTGACTCAGAGAAGAAGGAAAAGAGAGAGGGAGAGAAACATCCATGATGAGAGAGAATCATGGATCGGCCGCCTGACACACGCCCCCTACTGTGGATCCAGCCCACAACCCGGGCATGTGCCCTTGACAGGTAATCGAACCATGACCTCCTGTTTGATAGGTCAACACTCAGCCACTCAACCACGCCAGCTTGGCCCTAAGTGCAATATTTAAATATGAGAAACACACCTTAGAAACACATCCCTCATGCTCCATAGTCCTCAGCATTAAAGGTCTCAATGTGCATTTGCAAACACTTTCCTACCAGAGAAGAATTTAATCAGCAGTCAGTGATCTCTTTAATGCTACCATGGATGACCTGAAATTGATTTCTGGGGCTCCCTCCAGCTCCCTCTGCAGCTTCCTCTCTCTGGTGCAATGCTAGATGAATTTTATGATTGCTAGGCTTTGTTTGGGGCTGTTTAGTGCTAAACACAACTAAAAACCCAAATGCATCCAGAGCTAGATGCTAGAGCTGGCTGGAGCCTTCAGGAGACGATCCCTGGCATTGCTTATAATTCCTCAAGGAAATAGATGATCAGCATAAAACACCAGTAATCCCACAAACATTCGTTCTTTTTTTGGAGAGGGTAGTATTGGTTGACGAACCTCAGGAGATCAAACAATGAGAATGCTGGTCATTTAAATGAAAACTATTTCCAGTGATGTCTTCGAG